GAACACTTGTTTTCCTCTTCATCGTGAGCGTGGTCGATCGCGCGCCTGGATCTGCAGTTAGAGTGCTCTACAAGTTCCTATCTTCGGCGGAAATATCTGACGAGGCTCTGCGTCGGGCCCAGAACGACGCGTTGTTATATCGCGAGCTTGCGTTGGTTCGTTCCCGACGCCTGTAGATTGAGTGGAGTGATTGTTGCTGCTTACGCTACGGTCAATGGGGGTCCCATGTCTCGACAACCCCGAATATTCCTCGGCACGTGTTTTGGAGGTGTTGAGTAGAGGCGGGTATTAAAGGCCACCCGAGTGTTAGCGACCACCTGGCTTAAAAATTCATATCTTGCCAACAATATCGGGGAATGCCTTTTTTTTTTTTGTCATGGACCATGCCGATCGTTTAAGCGCAAGTTTGCTCCAGCTGGATAAAAACTGAGCCCTCTATAGCGTTCGGCGCCAAGGTGGCGTACGATATCCCAGCCTTTCTCGATTTATTTATTTTCCAGCCGCTAAGTGCGTGTTAACGAAGTGCCGAAATCAAAATCGAAAATCAAAATCGAGATCTGATTGGTCGAATATCTGCTACCTCCTGATGACGCCCTTTGATTTTTAGAAGTTCCTCTGTCTGGGAAGAAGTCCCAAGGGACTTTTTCTATCAAGATCAACATCAAAGAGGCAAGGAGTTCAAGGAGTTTGCCGCGAGGCCGCTGCAAAGCAAGTGCACGACACGGCCTGCTGCACACTGCTCATAGAGGGGCTATCGGCACCCTACCACCGAGACCATGGCCATTATTTGTAGCCAGAAGGCTCTGCTCGCCGGCACGCCATAAACGGGCCGGCTCGTTGGGTGCTCGAGGAGAAATGCCGATCGTGACAAGCGGTGAACGGACTGACGATCAGAACAGGGCTGCGCGGCTTTTCCGGGCTGTTCCGTGCGGGAGAGGGCAGTTGCAACCTTTTTTCTCCACACTCACGATACCCCATGGCATCTAACCTTGTACGAGACAGATGGTGGGTAAAGCTACCTCCCGTCGCGTGGCATTGTTAATGCTGTTGCTTCCTCCTTCGTATTTTTTTCTATAAACAGTCAAACGAAAACCAGGGGATTCTTCGTTTTTGTCCCCGGGTAAGCATTTTTTTTTTTTTTAATTCTAAACGCTCGCTATTAGTACCATCATCATTGTTTGAGCCAAAGGAGAAGTTCTGGGAAGCAGTAGAACGAGCGCAATCACTAGTATTCAAGGTAGCCGTTAATACCCTCCGGGCCGTGTTTTCCCTCAATATTCCATCTTCAACTTGGGCAAACGGCTACCGCTGTACCTTGTCACTTATAACGATTTTTCTTCTTTTTTTTTTTTTTTTACGGGATAGATGGTAATGTTAGCTATCGTTCGATATTTAAATATCATCGTAACTCGTTGTATTGCCACAGAGCGAACTCTTGGCACCAGGGGTAGCTTAAGTGGCCTTTAACCCTTACGTGAGTACAGGCCGATTCAGCTCCGTCCTCACCGCCGATCACTTTGCGTGCCGAAAGATCGCCGTTGTGCCTCGGCTAAGAGCAAACAACTACATAGATAGAGACCAGCAGGGAGACACAGGCAGCCCACCCCAAAAGCACGCTTATCAGCAAGGCGCACAGGACTCACATAGCACAGCACTATTCACCCATGCCTCATCTCTATGACGTGAGGCAGATATCCTTGCCAGATCCAATCTACTGCCTACCGATACTGCTGTAGTCTTCAGACTCAAACGCACAATACCATCGGAGGGTACATACAGCCCCTGAACATCTGCTCAACCCGGTGCCGCATCCGCGGGGGAGAGCAGAGAAAACGCGCACCGGAGCCGATGCTAACGTACGGCCTCGGTGCTTGATGTTGTTGTGGTTGCGGTGCGTGTGGTTCCCAGTATTGGGAGTGAAGGGTGGTTCGTCTGCTGTGTGCAAAAGTTCGCTCAAAGACGAGGGTTTTCGGGACTACAGCTCCAAGACAAGGGTTTTCGGGACTACAGCTCCGATCACAGCTCCGATCACAGCTCTCTATTTGTAGTACAGAGTAGTAAAATTTATCACGATTTTTATGCATTTTTTGCGATAGCGGGTGATGCTCTCGATTCTCTGGTGAGCGGGCCGTTTTTTTTTCTCCGTCGATCTGGCGCTTCTGTGAGGCGGTCTTCCGTCCGCGTCTTCGCATCTAGCGCCGCTAGCATATATATGCGCTTGCCCTATGCTCTGTCCAAGGATGAGGTGGAAAAGGTGTGCCAACAGATATTGCTTGCACAGGTACATCCTGTGTGCGGACGGTTGCTGTCGGAGACAGGCATGCACACCTGCTCAGGAACTACTGCTGCTGTACAGTCTAATTCTTTCCGCAAAACTGCTACTGCTGTACAGCAGTAGTACTACTGTACTCCTGTTCGTCACCCTTTTACATATACCGCGTCCCCATCCCTGTGAGCCCCACACATGGACCCACTGCTGCACCATCCTTGCCACCGTGATTTATGGGTGTACACGCATGCTTGGAAGATCTTTGACGGCAGAGAGCCAGTTGTGGGAAAATGAACACAAAAAATCAAATTAACCCAGTCACGCAAGGGTTAGTATCCGTCTCTACTATTTATCCAATACGGTAATACCAGACGCCTACCGCACGCGTGCTTCACTCATTGGCGCGTCCCGTGCTGACGCCCAGGCGACTTCACAATATGGAGAGTGCGCAGATGACATACTTTGGACGTGTTTTTTTTTTTTTTTCTTCATAGCACTAACGGTGGATTTTTATTTTTTTAAACCTTGGATTCGGGGAACCCCAGTTCGCAGCGACACGGGTGCTTCCGCTCATTGGCGCGTCCCGTGCTGATACGTGTTTGTTGTTTTTATCGATGCGTTGGATACGGTGAACTCCACTTGCCAACAGCGCGGGTGCTTCCACTCATTGGCGCGTCCGTTGCTGAAACTGACAACACATATGCAGCCTGGGTGCTTCCACTCATTGGCGCGTCCCGTGCTGATACGTGTACGGCTTTTGTTTTTCCGGTGAGATCGATTAACTCTACTCGCCAACAGCACGAGTGCTTCCACTCATTGGCGCGTCCCGTGCTGAGGCTGACATCACATATGCAGCACGGGTGCTTCCACTCATTGGCGCGTCCCGTACTGATACATTATTTGTGGTCTTTTTCCTTCCGATGCGTTGAATTCGGTGAACTCTACTCGCCAACAGCGCGGGTGCTTCCACTCGTTGGCGCGTCCCGTGCTAAGGCTGACAGCACACATGCAACACAATGCGGTTAACTCTACTCGCCAACAGCGCGGGTGCTTCCACTCGTTGGCGCGTCCCGTGCTGAGGCTGACAGCACACATGCAACACGTTGCGGTTAACTCTACCCGCCAACAGCACGGGTGCTTCCACTCATTGGCGCGTCCCGTGCTGAAACGTGTACGGCTTTTGTTTTGTTTTTCGGTGAGATCGATTAACTCTACTCGCCAACAGCACGAGTGCTTCCACTCATTGGCGCGTCCCGTGCTGAGGCTGACATCACCTATGCAGCACGGGTGCTTCCACTCATTGGCGCGTCCCGTACTGATACATTATTTGCGGTCCTTTTCCTTCCGATGCGTTGAATTTGGGTGAACTCTACTCGCCAACAGCGCGGGTGCTTCCACTCGTTGGCGCGTCCCGTGGCTAAGGCTGACAGCACACATGCAACACAATGCGGTTAACTCTACTCGCCAACAGCGCGGGTGCTTCCACTCGTTGGCGCGTCCCGTGCTGAGGCTGACAGCACACATGCAACACGTTGCGGTTAACTCTACCCGCCAACAGCACGGGTGCTTCCACTCATTGGCGCGTCCCGTGCTGAAACGTGTACGGCTTTTGTTTTGTTTTTCGGTGAGATCGATTAACTCTACTCGCCAACAGCACGAGTGCTTCCACTCATTGGCGCGTCCCGTGCTGAGGCTGACATCACATATGCAGCACGGGTGCTTCCACTCATTGGCGCGTCCCGTACTGATACATTATTTGTGGTCCTTTTCCTTCCGATGCGTTGAATTTGGTGAACTCTACTCGCCAACAGCGCGGGTGCTTCCACTCGTTGGCGCGTCCCGTGCTAAGGCTTACAGCACACATGCAACACAATGCGGTTAACTCTACTCGTCAACAGCGCAGGTATTTCCACTCGTTGGCGCGTCCCGTGCTGATACGTTTTCGACTTTCGTTTTTTTTTTTTTTATTATTATTATTTTTTTTATTGCGTTGAGATCGGTTAACTTCCACTCGCCAACAACACGGTTTCTGCTTCTGTTCATCCGTTCCCGTGAATGCTGTTGTATGCACTTTCCAATTACGCATGCGGCCGCTTTGTATTCCGTGGGACTTGTCAATGCCATCAGTGGAGACGATAGCTTACGTGAGCATATTATCGTCGATGCATTCGGCTACATTTACCCGTCTGTGCGCGGCACAGACCAGGTACGGGCAAGTAGTCCCGAGTGAGCCGCGGGAAACAGAGAACAAGGCACCGGCACCATGTGCATACTCTTGACAGCACACACCACGTGCCCCACTGCCGCGGGTCGATCGGTTATGTCCGATGCCGCAAGGTTTCCCCACCCCGTGCAGTACGATGGCTGCTATCGTGGCACGTACAGCAGCGCGTTTTCTCCGTTGAAATATTTTTTCAGCGATAGTACATCTCGGTTGGGATGAACCACATCCCATGTGTGGGAGGGTACCTATCTGAACGGCGTGGCGAGAGAGACTGCGGTACGCCGCTTATCTTACTGCACCCTCCCCCCCCCCGTGCTATGCACGCAGCGGTGAGGTCACAAGAGTAGCGGGACGCGGGAAGGAACACGGCAGACACGACGGATGTTGAACACGGACCCGATTACACACCTTATATGGAGGGTCCCGAGCGCGCGCTGGTCGCTTCCCCAATGCTTGCGCCGCGTCCCGTCCCGTCCATTTCCTAAACTGCCGCCGCTACTGCGTTAGGCGGCTGCTGCTGTCCTTCCGTTGCTTCACGCGCTGTAGCTCTCACACGTTACCCGACTTTGCTACAGCCCCTGCGTGGACTCGATCACGGAATGACATCCCCACCTATAGACAACAATAATAAATCCAAACACCGTGACCCTGGGTTTCCGATAGAAAATGAAGCCAAATTCTAATTCGACTGTTACAAAATAAACACCAGTTTATTCTATCTGCTCTTCGAACAAACCTTCCTTTTTCCGCGTTTTACCTGCGGAAAATGAGGAGAAGTCCTCAATTCTTGTTTGTTTGCGATTCCGCGTTCACCTGCGGAGTTTGAGGCAACTTCGTCCTCAATTCTTGTTTGTTTGCGATTCCTCGTTTACCTGCGGAGTTTGAGGCAACTTCGTGATACTTGTCTGATTCCTCGTTGCCAGGACAAGAAATACATTTCTTGTTTATTCGCGATTCCGCTTTTTCCCCGCGGAGTTCGGAGGTAACTTCATGATATTCGTTTGATTTCTCGTTGTTTGGATCCGAGAGTTGTTGCAGCAGGGGGGCTGTTAAGCTGTTGTGTTTTGGGAGATACTGCAGCAGGGGGGCTGCTAAGAAATCCATGCCTCGATGTTTGAGAAACGGCATAATTGGCGAAAGTTTCCTCTGGCGTCTTCGAACGCCGGGTTTTTATTTAACGTTTGTCTATTTGTGCCGCATGTATTTGGTATTGATGACTGTTCTGAACGATGTATTGGAGGAAGGATTTGGCATGTTTTGGTAAGACATGGTTGAGGCCTATGTGCTTCCGAAGCTTATTTGAAATTGGTCAATGAGTTGAAACATAATTTTGTACGAGGATTTTGTTCGAAGTATTTGTTGATGCGTTTTGCCAGAGTTGTCCGTCCAGAGTCTTTATGACGTGGCTCTGATGTAATGTTGATCTTTGCGGAGTATTTTTCCAAGTATAATTCTTTGTTTTTGACTGCTTGAGGATATGGTGATGACATTTTCTCGACAGGGGTACTTGTTAAGACTCTCTTAGTGAAATTCCATAGTCATCAGGAGGAGTAGTAACCTGAAATTTGAATATTCGATAGATCCGGGAGTTGAGATGATTTGTGGATACGAAAGACGAATGGTTTTTAGATTTGTTGCCGTTTTACCTGGCGATATGTATGAGGATCTCGTAGATCGTATCTCGTACCGAGTAGGGGGACTGTTTGTGTGTGTACCCGGCAGGATACAATTCTCCGAGATCTCCGAGGGGGTTACGCAGATGAGATATATATGGGTATGATAGACAGACTTGGTGCAGCAGGCTTTGCCTCTTCTTGCTCACGTCTGTCACTCCTTAAACTCGCTCTAAGAAGAAAGGAACTCGAGTCACTCCTTTGTGCAACACGCTCTCGACAAGAGCCCGCGAGCGTGATAACATAGTACACGCCGCCGACACCCCACCATGTTATATATACAAGGGCTCCGGACTTCGGGCGCAGAGGCGCCCTCGTCCTCAGTACTACAATGTAGGCTTAAAGGGAAGGTGTGAAGGCTGTGCACTGCATACCAAGAGCATGAAGCATCAGGGTGACCGAATGAACGGTGTGAAGATGTTCGCGTTGTATTTGAGAAATGTGCCGTTCCCGGTGTAACATGAAGCCAAGAGTCGCGTGTACGTGAATTTTTGTCTAGCTTCGCCCGGTGCGAACGAAAGAGACATGTAAGCTACGGTCGCCTCTCTTTTATTGCGCCGGTAAGAACGAAGCCATGGAGCATTAGCATCGGAAACTGAAGAGTTTCGTACGCTGCACTCCACAGGGGCAGGAGCCTAGGCTTGTCGTCAGGACCGTCACGTGGATAAGTTACTACAGCACATGATCCGCTGTTTTCCTGACCTGATGTGAAGACTAAAGCTGCAATTTCCGGTGCTGAAACCTTTTCACCTACAACGTGTCCGTCGTTTGTTCGGCTTACTTCAGCGAACTCAATGTACGCAGGGTCCGCGGATTCAGCGCGGTGGGCGTTAGGTTGATTAATAATGCTATCTACAGCAGATCGGTGTTGTTGCGCCCACGGAATGTTGTTGTACACATGCGTTCGTAAAGTTGTCGCGATGTTTGCGTCTAATTTAAGGGATGAAATGTTCTGTGTGAATTCAGAATCGTATATGTAAAACCTCGAGTTGTTCGACACGGAATAGTTCTCATAATGAATGTTGTTGGAGGTCGAAAATGCGGTGGTAAGCACGCCCATGCAACGTGAGCATCCAAATCCGTGTGTTTTAGCTCGAAAGGCGTGCCGATTGCGAGTCAATGTCTTGCACTCGAAGGCGTATTTGGTTATTAGCATCACCGCGATGGCTGTCTAGACTCGGTGCAGGTAACCTTGGTGCACGATTCCTCGTTCGGCTAAAATGTTGACGTATCATATCGAGTTCAGGGTCTGAGTCGTGTGGTGTGTTATTGTTTGCATTGCGACGTCGACGTTCCGTTAAGATTCCAGCACGTCTTCGTCTGCGAGATCTTGCTAGTTCTGCGTGTTGCGCGTTATCCGCATACGGTGACGTGCTTGAACTTCTTGCCGTCGGAAGAGTTGGCACCAGCGTAAAGACGCCACACCGCGTGGATATTATTCCACTCTGACAACAACAGCAAGCAAAAAGGGCATCATTGGTGTGGAGAGATTTAGCGGTTGCGGTTGCGATGCAGTTTCATGTCAGGGCTTCATGCGACACCTGAACAACATTCGGGCACATATCAGGCGGATATTTACTTGATATAATTATAGAGAGAAATTGCTTTTACCTTTGTAGCCGCGGCTGTTGACCTGTTCGGTTGGGATCCCGAGCGAAGGAGTACCTCCCACCGGGGCGAGGCAGAGCTGGCACGGCTTTGGGTACGTTGTCGACGGGGTGAGGATGGTGCAGGATACGCTACAACTGTCCTCGTCGCGGTTGTTGTTACGGTCGCAAGGGGCAAACTTGCCTTTACCGTCGCGCTTGTTATGAGCTAAAGATGACCGCCGTCGTCGCAGTCGGGTCCGGGGCAAGACCAGTTGGGGTCGCCCTTTTGTACAGGGCGGCGGGACTCTCCACTACGACTCTCTGACTGGGTGGACTTACGCTTTGCTGGGGAGCGACAGGAGAGGGCGTTCATGTTGTGTCGCCGCTGAAGGTCGATGCGGGGATGAGCAATGAGAGGGGAGGGTGTCGAAAATGAAAGTGACCGGGTGGGGCCGGTGGGGCTGGAGCACGGTTTCACGCTTTACAGACTAAATTCTGACTAACTTGGAGTCGACGAAATGTGCACTCTTTCATTCACTCTGCACAGACTAACTTCTGACAAACTTCCAGCAAATACTCTAACTTCTGACTAACTTCCAGCAATTATTCCATGAAACGGTGTGGTATCAGGAAAAGTTTATCTTTCTTGTTTTAACTGTATATATACGATATAGCGCAGTCTACAGCTGCACCTTCAATACAACAACAGCAGTGTTCACAGTATTACAGAAGACCTCCAACCTTGCAGCACTTGCGGCAATTGATGATGCCGTGAGATTTGCGTGCATGTTCAAGCTCGAAACAAAGCAAGTTAAGTCTAAAGTTAGTTGTGGCGTACCACAACAACAACAATCAATCTACATCGATTTGTCCAATCTTCCTAGCTACAGCTGTAGAATATGGGCATCTTGGAGGGTGTGTGTGGAATATACGCACGTAATAACCATCCGCGCGGTGACAATACACGATGCACATACTCCAGTTCGCGTTGCTTGAGAGAAGGCGACAGGCTGCATGCATGCACTACTACTGCGTACAACGCATACCACATAGTGCGGACAGTCTGTCGATATCTATTACAGATGAGACCATGCGGCAAAAAAAAGTCTGTGCTAGGTACTACATGTTGCTTGTGCTTCAAGTATATGTCATGATTTATGAGTTGACGTTCTCCAAAATCTTGTCCAATGAGCTGCGTGATTCTTTAGAGATCACAGTCCCTTGAAGTCCAGTGCGTAGACGCGCCCGGATCCAGGAGATTTAGCCATACTTCACGGTGCTGTAACTCGGCTCGCCCTTGGAGTCTAGAGCTCGCGACAGGGGCGCTGTGATCGTGAGAGTGGCACGCCCGCGTCGGCGAAGACGGCCGAAAAAAATGTTTAAACCCCATTTAAAAACAACTAAAACCGATTTACCGCACCGCAACCTCTAGGTCAATGACTGAAAAAGTGGTTGCGTGCATTCACCGTGCTGTAACTCTACTCGCCTTTGGAGATTCGAGCGCGCGACAGGGGCGCTGTGATCCAGAGACTGGCCCGCTGCAGCGGGCAACAGCCGGCGAAAACAAAAGTCTCAAGGTGACCGCGAACTGATGCACCGAAAAAAAACATCTTGCTTCTAGAGTGCAACAATGGTTGAACTCTTGCGTCTCAGACCTCCGACATAATTGTAGTTACGTCTATACTCACAGGATGGTCGTCGTGACGTGACACATTTCTTGTTATTACTATGGAAGAAAAAAAAAGATGGCTCGATTTTTGTGTTTCTACAGCAGTATGGACCAGACGCCGACTGTACATAGAAGTCGTACGAGTGTCGACTTAGTTGTGCTGTCACAGCATCTTCCACGCACTTCTGCCAGTGCTGGTTTGTTGATTGGAGTCTGGTAGGTCGAGATACAGCCGTGAGATTCTCGGGTTGTGGAGGCAAAAGTGAACCAGAGCAAAAAATTGCATGCATAGCTCGATTACTGCTGTGTTTTTGCTAAGGCAGTATGGACTAGACGCCGAACGACGTCCGCGTACTAAGGCAACCACCTAACTGGATGGGATACTTCCTGTCACGGTGAACCATAGTACAATGCGATGCAAACATCCGTTCGTATGTCGTACGGCTGCCACATGTGTCGACGACAGGTACACGTAGAGCTCTCGCCATGTTGTCGTTACCGCGCAGGAGGACCCCTCGGAGATCTTCCACATGGTGCTACAACGACAGCAGTCTACTGCTGCTGTAGATAGATGTCGTAGGAGAGTGGAGTTGTGCTGTCACGGCATCTCCCACG